TAATAGACCAAGTATTCATACTTATGTCTTACTAGTTTGGCTCTTATTATAATTTTAAGTGGTGCCATGTAAATGACGTCTATAAAAAATGTTTTTATTTGCAGTGAGGAAGGTATTGATCCTGTTCCTAGCTGCTGTTCCTGTTTCATAGCCTCAGGGAAGTAGCAGTTCTGATGAGTCATGAGAACCCCACTCCCCAACCCCATTAGGAAAACGTGTAAGTGTGGAGGGAAGGTAGGGGGATGAGTAGAGGTAGAGGGAAGCCCAGCCACTAGGACTCAAGGTTTTGAAAGCTCGCTGTCTAGCACCCTGACTAGGCCCCATAGTACATGATGGATATGCATGGTGACACTGACACTAGGAATATTCTCCCAGATTTTGCCCCTCACCGACATTTCCGGGATCCATTTCGATCACGCTTCCACCAGAAGTATGAACTGTGAGCTTGAGTTCATTCGGCTCTTTTTTACTAAGGGAATGCTTCAGGAGGTAGTTTCCCATACCAATACGTATGCCCACATACAAATAACCCAAAAATCATTCCCATATACTAATAAAGAAGGGTCTTGGAGTCCACCAACCTTGAGGAGATTGAGAGGTTGATTGCCTTTTTAGTATATGCAGGTTTGGTAAAGGTGGACAGTGAGGTTGAAAACTATTGGAGTGTAAAAACCTTATATCATGGTCTGTGGGCAATAGAAATAATTTCTCGGTTTAGGTACAAAGCGCTTATGGCATTTCTGAATATGGTAGATCCTGTCACTGAAGACTACAGCAATAAACTGCATCAACAACTGTACCAGCCATCACAGAAAATTGGTGTTGACGAACACACTGTCAAATCAAGGAATAGGTTGGGGATTAGGCAGTTCATGAAAGATGGCCTACTATGTGGGAGATAAGTCTGTGGATTGCTGCAGGCAGTCCTAATGGTTATATTGCGACTTTGAGATTTATACAGGAAGAAGTCCACAGATTCTTAGCAGCATGGATTTGGGTATGACGTGGTGATGTGATATAAGTTTGGCTAATATATATTTTGTGCAAAAAAAGGAAATATTTTCACCACATAATCCAATTATGTGCCTTGGCAAACATTACTGCCTCGGAAAACATTACTTTTTTATAACTACTAATGACACCAGCCCAACAACACTTGGTCATGCTATATGCAAGTATTTTCATGTTCTAGATTGTGAAAACAATCAATTTCTCAAGAAACGAGTGATGATTATTTAAAATTTGAATAGCATGACCGAATTTTCAGGCTGGTTATGCCACTGATAACTAAGTCAATGGTGTACTGATTATCTAAGAATGTATATAGTAACCGTAGAAATAAAGACATTTTGGAAATAGTGATGTGAGTGTTCTTTTGTGGGTATCACAGACTTATTTTGGTGCCATACTATCCTTGGAGAGTAAGAAATGTTGGAAATTCGAATTGATAATATGTTGCAGCAATGAAAAAGGACCTTTGATAAGGGTATTTGTTTCATGTGAGCACAAAATGTAAATTTGACTCAATTACATAGTTTATTAAAAAATTCAATAAAAATACTTCCATTTATGCTACATGCATGAAACGTCAGGTACATGTAGATCACAACCGGGTCTTTCAGTTACATTCATAAAATTTTTGACATATTTGAACCGGTAAATACCGTTTATGCATAATTGCAACATTTTTTTATATCATAATTTATGCAAATTTATGCAAGTATATCATTAACCAAGCTTGGGATGATTGGTATCGTTGGAAAGCAGAAGACCTCCTCTTTTGAAGGATGTGATTTCTGTTTCCGTACGATGTATAGTTTGAAAGATATATGCATTTAAGAGGCTGTCTCAGTAAGAACCACCTGGTCATTTTCGTTTCAAAAATAATTTTTCCTTAAACCCTGGTGACTGAAAGGCTTTAGGAATACTAGAATACAAACATGTTTGGTTTGCTTCAAAACGATTTTGTTGTTGGGCTAGGAGCCACTTAGTAATTTGGGTCATTTGGCTCTGAAGCGACGTCTCGAAAACTGAAAAAAAAGCCATTTTTCGAAGCGCTGTAAAATATTTAATTCGCATCGAAAAACAATAAGTCATACATCGATTTATTTCTTATTCCCTCTAGTTTACTATAATTATAATCATTTGTGCGTGGCTTTACTGCTAAAGTCGCAATCTTAGGTATTAAAACCCCTACTGATCGGTTTCTCAAAAAATCTCAAAATAGCCTCTATTTAGACTGTAATTGAAAAAAAGCAGGACTTAGGGACCGTTCATTTTTTATCAGGAGGGGGGGGGGGCTGGTGGTTTTGCATGCTTTCATTGATAATTTCGTCATGACCCCCCAGCAGTAGAAGCATGATGCATTGATGGGCTGATTGTTGACAAATGAGACTCGTAGCCATAATAGTCTCCCATTAGCGTCGAATAATGCTGTTCAGAGAACACTTTCTTCGAAATTTGGACAATAACTCATCAAAGCCTTTTATTGTAGAAAAGAGGGACGTTAAGCTGTTACAAAAGTATAATATTTGCCTGTTAATGAGGCGGCAAAAGGTCAATTCCAACCTTTGTTGTGATCTATCGTTTCCTGGGTTTTCACTTGTTTCCATCCACCAAACTGACATTGCACAATTTCCCAAATTTCAAATTTCCATTTTCGTTTATTTTTCTTCCTCAATTTCGTTAGGGTAGGGTCTGGATTAGTTTTAAGGTAGAGGTTAAGGTAAGTTTTAGGGTTAGGGTCAGTTACAAGGGTATTTTACATTTCTTGAGACTTGAAAAACTAACGCCATGTCAGAATGGAAGATGGAAACAAATAGTAGACATAGTACACCGCAGTACACAGCTTCAAATGGAAGTATGTGTGAATACATGTTGCAATCAAATGAAGCTTATTGTATGTATTGAAGAACGGCTCAGAAAACTGTGTTCAAAAGTTAAAAGCGGTTTCAAGGGGAAATCTGGTTTACATCATGTCAACTTTGCAAGCCAAAGTAGAAGTCTTGAAATTCGAGGCGGGGAAATTTCGAGAGCATCTGATTTGGAAATCGAGTTGTGCAAGCTTAATACTGCAAAAGTTGCTCTAGAGAAAGAAAATGCAGCACTTCAGCAATGCTGTGATGACTTGTACAAAAGTTTGGTTCAAGCAGAAGAGCTCAGAAGGAAAACCAATGATAGCTTAGAAGGTGCAAAGGTTGACCTAGAAAAGCTTGAAAAGGAGAATGCCAGCTTGTGGAAGTATTTTGACAAAATTTCAGAACTGGAGAGATTGAAGAACTGCAGCAAATCGTTTTCTCAAGTTAAAGGAAGACAACAAAGATGCAAGATTAGGGAGCTAAAGACATATGTAGAACAAGCACTTTGGTTTGCCGAGACGTTTGGCCATAAACTTAGCTCGGTCAAATTCAATGATGACGAGGGGGTATCTCATACCATTGATCACACAAAAGAAGATGGAAAGAAATGATATAGAGATTTGTTGGAAGAAAAAGAGAAACATCACAGATAGTTTCTGCATTGGGGAGGCGGCATATCACAAATTTACCATGACCAAAGGATTGGTCATTATTTGGTGAAACAGTGTAAAAATGATTTGAACAGCCTATGCCACATCACCAGAACCCCAGGTGTTGCAGTAGGAGCACAAATGAACCTGGAGTCTGAATTAAAGAACACAATAAAACAGCAGGCAAGCTTTTGTTTTTACCTATAATTAAAATGTTAATAATTTGGTTTTGCACACCCAAAAAGAGCCACTCCTCAGTCCTCACTCACACTTCCACATCACACCCTGCCAAAAAAACAAGAAGTCGTCATCATTACCAAGAATCATCTCTACCACTATACTCTACTATAATTTTGGGTGTTTCATTATTTTTATACCTAATCATTTTTATTTCCAACAGATTGATTCGGAACAGTTCAGAAAGGGTGATCATGAAAAGTTAAGATCAGTGGGGATGGGGCACAAATGACCCGAATAACCAACTTTGTAATAATGTCATTCTCGGTGTTGGACTCTGATGATGTCATGTCATCCAAGGGTAATTTTTATTACAAACTTTTGTAGTGGTTGACCACATGCAAATACCTTGGTTAATGACCTTGCTAATACCAGGGCCGTAGCAAGCTTGTAAAAGTTAGGATGGCCGATTCCGGGCACTGGGAGACTGGGCCTCCCGCCCCCTGCTTCCTACACCCCTGGCTAATATTTTTGCTAATTATTTGTCGTCTGTTGTTTTTATGTGAGGTAGCCACACAGTTGGAGTTGTTGAAGGCCAAGAAAGTTATGAATTATCATAACTATTTTCAGCAATTGACAAAATAATCAAGAAGGGAAAATAACAGTAGATGAGTGTGAAATTCCTGTTGAAATATTCCTTGCTGGTGATTACAAAGTATTAGTCATAATCAATTTTATGCCCTTGTTAAGCTGCAGAACTAATCTCCAAATTATCCTGATGCACCAAATTTGCGTTTTTTATTATTTTTAAAATAATGATAAATCATTACACTTTTTAGTTTCTGCTGTTACTGCTGGGTATGAAGGGTGCAACATCAGACCATGTCTGTATCATTCGCAAGAAATACGGGTAGGACTTTAGGATGTGTATTTAATACTAAATGATATTAAATACTTCTCAAAATATGAAAATATAAAGAGTTGGTGGGATAGCATTTTCCAACTGACAGAAGTCAATACTTTTTGTATTATTAGATTTGACATGTCTAAGCTGGAGAAGTTCTACTCAGAGCAACCCATGGCCAGAACCCTCGAAGAGATAAACAAAATGTGCATTAAATCAAACTTATCCTTGTGTCCATCAATTTTTATTGGATGTTCCATTGGAAAATATAGTTCTGGACGAATTGCATCTCATGCTCAGGATTACAGGTGTAGTTTCTAATCGTTTTCCTCCCACAGGGAGCAGCTGGGTTAGTATATATAAGGGGATACTAATATAGGGTTAACCTCAGGATTCTACTACAAGGGCCTAGATATGGTACCTTGTAAAGTTTCTATTCGCTATTTTCACCAAATCCCATAATGCTATCGGCATGTATAGTTTTGTGAGGGTTTGGTAATTGCTGGGGAACCACATTGATTATTTCGGTGCCCCAGTGCATTGCATTGTGGGATTTAGTAAAAATAGTGAATAATTATTTACATTTTTCTTGCATGTTCACAAATATCCTTACCAAAAACCTTGTAACAGCAGCAATAAACTGGGATAAAGAAGATAACTTTAACAAATGGGCTTGCAAAAGAACAAATATGCACCTTGAAGCACTTATCACTGCAGTTAACAACTGCAGAGTGTGTGTTAAGGTTTGGGAGAAAGAAAATGCAGACGGGGGAGGAAGTGGCACATATGATTACACCAGCCTGATGGGTGGAGATAAAAAGTTCCTGTCAAAATACCTTCCAGAAAAATTAGAAGGTGTTATTAAGGCAGACTCAAGTGAGAATGTGGTCAATCTCTAAAAGGTAAGTTATTTAACTGTGGTTGTTTAATTTTTTTTGCAGACAGTTATGTAATTAACTCATAGAGCTGCACTTGTATCCAAATGTAATCCCATGTAATTCACACAAATTACAATTTACCAGGTGTGTGTGTGTGTATGTGTGTGTGTGTGTGTGTGTGTGTGTGTGTGTGTGTGTGTGTGTGTGTGTGTATGTGTGTGTGTGTGTGTGTGTGTGTGTG